GTTCGGCGTTGGACAGGGGCGACGTGCTGGTGTCCACCTATTCGGCGCTTTGGTCCGTGGCCTGTTGGAGTGCTGCGGCTCCGCGGCGGCCCCAGTCCCGCTGGGCGCCCCGGGCTCCCCGGGGGCCGCGTTCGACTTCCTGATGCTGCAATTCGTGGACGATTCTTTCGCCCTGCAGGCGACGGAGCAGGGCGTCGCCGACGTCTGCCGAGGCCTGACCCAGTTCTGCGTGCAGTACAGGCACGCTTTCCAAGGGGGACCCGCCAAGGGGCCCGCCGTGATGGCGGTCGGCGAGCCGCCGCCGGCGGTGGACCAGTGCGGCCGCATCGGTTCGCTGCAACCGCGCGCGGCGCAGTCCCTGACCTGCCTGGGCGTGCCGCTGGACGGGGAGCTGTCCCTGCAGCAGCTCCTGGACCGGGTGTGCGCGCGGCTTCGCCAGGGTGCGCGCCAGCTTGTGTCGGCGTTGGCGGACCGCGGGTTTGGTCTGCCAATGCAGGTCTCCCAGCTGGCCGCCCGCGTGGAGGCGTCGGCGCTCTACGGGGCGGAGCTGCTCGCGTCCTGCGCACTGGGGTGGGCCGCGGTCATGGCCCGCTGCAACGCCGCCTACTACGACGTTGCCAAGCTCCTCCTGGTCGGGCCGGCCGCGCAGGTGTCCTTAGGCCCGGGTGGCCACGTCCGGGCTTTCCTGGAGGCGCGGCTTCTGACGCGCGTGGGCACGAAGCTCACGCGCCGTGTCATCACCGCGCGGGCGCGCATGGGCTTGCTGGACGCGCACTCCCCAGTGGCGCCGGTGCTGGCCGCCACAGCGGCGGCGGCCTGCGGGGCCACGTGGTGGGAGGCAGCGGAGGCGGTCGCCAGGGACATCGGCATTGAGGCCTGGCCCTCAGTCCCGCCGGCCGCTTCCCCCGCGGACCGGAAGCGCGTGGCGCGGGCCTGGGCTCGCGCCGTCGTGGACCCAGTGCTGGAGCGGCGGGAAGCGGCGTGGTTCGCGGAGCAGGTGGCCAAACTCACTGATGACGGCGTGGTCTCGCTGGGCGACCTGCTGCCGCTGCGGCAGCCGTGGGCGCAGGAGATGCGATGGGCACCGTGGAGCCGCGCGATGTGGCGCCTGCACCGGGCATGGTGCGTGGCGCGCCTGACGCTGGACATACCGTGCGCGGTCTGGGGCCTCGCCACCCCCCCTCCCGCCGCGGTCGCCGCCGGGTGCCCGCTGTGTGGGGGTCGTGCCCATGGCCTGCACCACCTCCTGGTCGAGTGCCAAGCCGTCGCGGGCGTCCGGGAGGAGGTGACGGCCCGCTGGCCGGGCATGCTCCATGGTCTGCTCGTCTGGGCGCTCGGGATGGCGCCGTCGCGGGAGGAGCTCGTGGACAAGGTGAGGCTGGTCGGGCTTGCGGCCGGGGCTTATGTGCACGCGTGCGTGCGCGCGGACCGGTAGAACAGGTCAGCCACTCTCCCCGATCCCCTACCCCTCCAGGCGCCCCGAGGACCTCTTGACCTTGCCCGGCGGCGCCGTGGGCGCGCCCGAAGCCCCGTGGCGCGCCGAACGCTTCGCCCGTGAAGTGCTTCGCAAGTGACGCGGGCTTCGGCCGGCCCGGGGCACCGGTCGGGGGCCAGGCGCTCCCCGCGGGGCTCGGGTCGCCCCCCCCGTCCCACGCCTGGCCGGCCTCCTCTCGTTCCGCAGTTTCGTTCGCCCACTGCCCCCTCGCAAACCGCGCTCCCGCCCCCATCCTCGACCTGCATCGCCTGCTCTTCCCCCCCCCCGCCCTTGTCCGCTCCCGCCCTTCCCCCGTTCTCCCACTCGCAGCTCGTCGCGCGTCTGCCCCGTCGCCGCCGCGATGGCGTCGTTCCCCCCTCCGAACGCAGCGCCCGGGCTCAGGCCAGACTCGGTGCAGCACCGACGCCCGCGACCGCAGCAGTAGCGCAGCGGCGATGGCGCGCCAGCCGGAGACCCGTTCCCGCACGCCGAGGGCGTCCAGCGAGAGCCGGGACCGCCGCCGCAGGGACCGACGCCGCAGTGGCAGCCGCGATCGGCGCCGCCCGCGCTCCGTGGGCCGCCGCCGCGGCCCCTCGCCGAGCCGCGAGGACCGCCGTGCCGCCTCTCACGGCGGGGGGGCGGCGCACCTGGCGAAGGCCCCGGCCAGTCCCCGTCAATCCGGCCGTGAGGAGTTCGACGGCGCGACGCGCAAGGCGTCGGGGGGTGCGCCGAAGGCAGGCACCCCGCAGGCGGCGCCAGTCCCACTGGCCATGCCCTGGGCGGCGGGGCCGTCGCCGCCGCCGGCGGAGTGGCCGACGCCGTTCGGCCCGATGGCGATGGCGTTGGCCGCGGGACAGCTGGCCGGGGCGGGAATGCCATGGGCGGCCGGCCTCATGGGGCCCCCCGGGCGCGCGCGGGGCAATCCTCTGCGCGGCGCGGCAGGATGGGCGGGCGCGACGCCGCCGCCATCGGGGCCGCCGAAGGGCGGGGTGGCGCCCCCCGTCGCCGCGGCCATGGCCGCGCGCGCCCCCGCGCCAGTCCCGAAGCCGACCGCGCCGTTGACGACGCCGCCGTCGCCCCCGGCCGTTGGCGCGGGCGGCGCCCCTCCACCCGGGCATTTGGTCGAGGGCCCGCCGGGAGCAGTGGTGGCCCCGGGCGCGCGCGCCCCCATGTGCCCGCCGCCGGGGGCCCCCGTGGGCAGCGCGGTGCGCTGGGCGGGGGCGCCGCAAACGCCGCCCGCGGCGCCCCTGGCGCCGGCCGCGCCCGCCGCGACGCCGGGCGGCGCCGCGCAGCACGGGGCGGCGGCCGCCGACGCGGCAGACCGCGCCGGGGCACCGCCGCCCGCCATGCAGCCGCCCCCCGGTCACCGCGCGGCGGGCGGCTCGCAGCCGCCGTTGGCGTTGCGCCCGCCCCCAGGCTGGGCGGGGCCGGCGGCCGCCCCCGAGGAGGATTTGCGCGGAGGTGCTGTGGTCGCGCGGGAGGCGGCACCTGCCGCCGCCGCCGCCCGGGGCGGGGCGGGCGCGCCAGCGGCGGCCCCGGCCGTGACGGGTGACGCGGAGCCTGACGACGACGGCGTGGAAGAGCTCGTCGCGGCCGTCCGCGCTGACATCGAGCTGATCGAGATCGCGGGCTACACGCTGCAGCAGGCCCTGGACAGGTTCCTGACCACGCTGACTGGGGCGCCCCTGGCCCCCCCCGAAGCCGGCCCCCCCCCGGCTGGCGCGCCCGGGGGCGCGCCCGCGGCGGCTCCGGCGGAGGCGGCGGAGGATGCGCGCGCCATGGCCCGCGACCTGGTCACGCGGCTGTCCAGCGCGGCGGCGGGCGTCAAACCGGCCATCCCGGGCTCGTCGGTGAGCTTCGATGTCCAGTTCAAGCTCGCCGTCCCGGACGCGAGAACGGTGGCGGAGAGGCTGCGGGACTTCCACGGGCCCGCCGGGCCGCCCATCCCGGTGCAGATCCTCGAGGAGGAGGCGGGCCGCCCCTGGCGCCGCCAGGCGGCGTCCGCCTGGAGCGCGGAGAAGGGCGGGGACAGCCGCCTCCTGGTTTTGCGCCTCCGCATCCCGTCCCGGTCTTCGCTGAAGAAGAACACGGGGGCCTCCGTGCAGTGGTCGCCGACCACGAACCAGGTCGTCGTGAAGGCCATCAAGCTCAACATCACCGAGTACGCCGCGCGCTGGGTGGCAGCGTTCGGGCCCGTGAACCAGGTGAGCCCGTCGCCGGGCTCGTTCATCCCAACGGCGGCGGCGCCGCCGCCAGGCCAGCCGTCCGTGGCGGCCTGGCTGCAGCGGGGGGCAGCGGCGGCGAGGCGCCTGGGGGCGGACGCCGTAGGCCCGGCCGCTTAGCGGCCGAGGCGGCCGCCCCGCCCACCAGCGCGTGGCGCCGCCGTCGCGGGGCCTTGGCTTGGGCCAGGCTCACGGCGTGGGGATGCGGCGCCACGGGGCCCGGCGCGCCCCTCCGGCCAGGTGGGCGCGGAGGTGGCGTGGGCCGTGGCGACTTGTCTAACTCGAGTTCGTGCAGTGCAGGGTGCGCATCGCCGCCGTCGGCCGGCGCGGGGCGTGCAAGGCGCCGGGGGTGCCGGAGCTTGGGCCAGGCTCATGGCGGCGCGGCGTGCCCGCTGGCCCGGCGGCGCGTCGCGCGGCGGGCGCTCTCTGCTGCCGGGGGCCGCAGGGGTGGTGAGCCAAGGCTTGGGCCGGGCTGACCGGGCGGCGCGGCGGTGACGGGGACGCCCGTGGGGCGACGTGGGGGCGCAGTCGGAGAAACGGTAACGATCCGCCTGCCCGCCCCGCCGTCTCGCCACCCCGGCCTCCTCTGCTGCGCCTCGTCGCCAGCGCCCTGGCCCGGGCTCTCCGGGTCGCTGCCGCTGGGGGCGCCCCTCGCCTCCCTCCCCCCGTCCCCCCCCCTCCTCCTCCCGCTGCCGTCCCGAGCAGTGGCAAACATTTGAGGGGTCTTTGCGCCACCTGCTCCCCCTGCCCACCCCCACCTCCCCTTCCTTTTCCTCTTCTCGTTGGGGGCTCGGGGGGGTGCCGCTGGGGTGCCGGCGCGCGGGGGGGAGGGCGCCGCCGCCCGCCCGGCGCGTGGCCGAGTTCCGGCCGAACTCGGCCACGCGGGGCGCGGACGCTAGCGCCCCGTTGGTGCCGCAGAGGATGGTCGCCTCATCCCCCCCGCCCCTCCCCTCCGCGCTTTCCTTTGCTTGGGGAGCCCGGGGTGGGAGATGGTGCTGTGGGAGGGGGCCGCCCCCCTCGCGGCCACACGGACCCGCGGCTGAGGCGTTGTGGGGGGGCCGGACGCGCCCATCCCACACCCCTTGGCGGACGGGGGCGCCGCGCTCCCCCGCGAAAGGTACCCCCTGGGGCAGCGGCGCCCCCGGCTCCCCAAGGCGCGGGAGCCGAAGGCCCAGGGGGCGGATGTTGTCCCGCGCCGGGGAGTCGCCCGGCCCCTCGGGGACCCCCCGGGGGCCGTCCGGAATAACATAGTCCGAAACATAGTCCCTCCTCCCTCCTCCCTCCTCCCTCCTCCCTCCTCCCTCCTCCCTCCTCCCTCCTCCCCTCCTCCCTCCTCCCTCCCCTCCTCCCTCCTCCTCCTCCTCCTCCTCCTCCTCCTCCTCCCTCCTCCCTCCTCCTCCTCCTCCTCCTCTCCTCCTCCTCCTCCCCCCCCTCGACGCCGCGGCCAAGGCGCGCCGCCCCCCCGCCGCCGCCGCCCAGGCGCGCCGCCGCGCTCTCAGGGGCGGCGCGCTGGACCCCGGCGCCGGCGCCGAGAGGCGGCGCGGGCGAGAGCGCCTGGGGGAGGGGCAGGGGGCGGGGGTGGGGGGGGGGGCAGGACTGCAGCGGGGGTGGAGGATGAGGAGGTGGAGGAGGAGGAGGAGGAGGAGGAGGAGGAGGAGGAGGAGGAGCGCAGCGCCTCAGGAAGGCATCCCGCCGCGCACGCGGGCGCAAGACGGACTACCCCCTGGCGCCGCCAACTCACGCCACAGTGCCGCAAGAGCAGGAGGCGATGTAGAAGGAGAGCAGCTGGAAGAAACCGCCATCGAGGCCGTGGACGCAGGCCAACTTGCCGCCGACGAAGAAGGCGTCGCCGCCGAAGAAGACGCCGTGCCACCAGCCGAACACGGAACGGCAGCGAATCACGACATGGTCGATCATCGCGCCGCGTAACTGCAAGAGGAGCCACCCTGCGAGAGCGGCGCTGCTGGGGTGCGCCGGGCTCGGGGCGCCAGGCCCTTCTCGACGCGCCTGATCGCATTTTGCGGGTTGCGGCGCGTGGACTCGTCGGGCGTCGGGCGAGAGCCCATCGCACCTCAAGCCAAGCTTCCGCGCTGCACGGGCATCTCCCGCAGCACAGTGAGACCCGCAGCGTCTGCAACAGTAAACACTGTTGCCCCTGAGCACGCCGCGCCCAAGCGCGGCGAAGGCGTCCCCGACCTCCTCGGCAAGGGCAGGCGGCAACAAGGCTGCGGGGGTCGAGGGCTGCGAGCTCCCTTCGAGCGCCAAGGCCGCGCCCAGGGCAACGCCCGCCCTCTGGTCGCTGCAGTGCAGAGAACCCAGCCCTCGCCGAAGGCGCGGAAGTACTCGGCGCGAGGGCTCTGGCAACACGCGAAGGGCGACATACACGATGAGAGCCTGTTTGCAGCCACTCGAGGGGGGAGCCCGCTGTGGCCGCGACTCCGCATTGGGGGCGCCGGCACCGCCCGAGGCTGGCGCAGTAAGCAAGGACACGGGGCGTACTGCGTGCCACCACAATGGGGCTGGCCTGCTCGCAAGGTGGCCTGAGGACCTCCACGTCGCACCCCCCATTGTTTGCGAACCACCGCCTCCAGTGCTGCCCACGACATGAACTGCAGGACCTTGCGGCGCTGTTTCAGCGCAGCTGTTGCCGCCTCGGCTACCGACCCAGCCAGCGCGTGAGAGGCCGCACCGCAGCGCGCGAAATAGTCTGCCCAGCCGTTGCCTAGCCAGTCACGCAGCTCCTGCGACCCTGTGCCCACAAGCTCCTCCAAGGACCTGTGCGCTGGCGCCCGTCGGAACTTGGGAGGGCCCCGCAGAGTGCGCCTGCGGCTGGCCACGAAGATGTCCCGCCACGCTCTAGCATACTTGGCGCGACCCT